CAGGAAGCTGCTCACCTCCCTCAGTGACACACTTAAGCGCCCTATCCGTGGGTGGTGCGAACCGTTGCTATCATCCACTGTGTACAGTGTACACAGTGGAGAGTGTACATTGTACACTCTCCTGAGGTGATGTTGACTAACGGCACGATATCATCTTCCACATACTTAAGGATCAGGTTGTTCACCATACAGTTACCAGTTGCAGTTCTGGATCAACCGCCTCAGAATTATAAACCCACTGTTTACAAGGAGCCAGCAGTGATACTCAGAGAGGAAATAAGTACACTATTCATCCCATTCTTGACCTCCGAGTCTTGAACAAATATTTATGAATGAACAAGTTCAAGACGCTAACATTCTGACAGCTTTTGAATGCAGCTGGCCCAGATGATTGGTTTGCAACAATCATGTGGCTATACACCCAAACCACAGGTATGCATTCGAGGGCATAGTCTACGAATACCTGGTGCTGCTGTTCAGGTTGTTTCTGATGCGCCTTTGCAAAGGCGCATCAGAGACGCCTTTGCCGAAGCTGCCAAAGCTTCTCCAGTGATGGAGTGATGGAGTGATGGAGTTCTGCGCCTCCACAGCCACCTGATCAATAGTATAATCAATAGATAGTTTGTGATGACATGGACCACAGAGTGAAGGCAAAAGGGCCAACAAGTGCTCAGCATCTCTGGGAACTCCTTCAAGACTGTTGGAAAACCATTTCAGGTGACTACCTCATGAAGCTACATACTACCAATAACTACACATAATTCTGTATGTGTTCATTCATAGTTTTGATTCCTTCAGTAAAAATCTACAATGTAAATAGTCATTAAAGTAAAGAAAAACGCAAGGGCGTGATTTCCCATACTTATGTGTTGGGCCTCGTTCCTCTCCTTAAGGGAACAGAAGATATATAGATATAAGTATTCCTTCTCAATAATCCCCTCTGCACACAATTCAATTATGTACTCATGAAAGCACATCAAGAATATTTGTTGTGTACTAGCTTCCTTCAACTAGACACACAATAAAAAAAATGTTAAAAAAAAAAAAAAAAACTCAAATCCTGAAGATCCTACTGCACTCACAAAAACAGACATGCTGTGACTTATAAGCGGACTACAGGCTTTGAAATAGAAAATTTGGAGGGCAGCTTCTGATACACCAAATTCATAGGTTTCAGTATGGCTAGCACAGATTCAAAGGGAGAACTGCCACTATTAAATCGCTTTGAAGTCGTATAAAACAAACCACATTTTCAACGGCGTGAATAGAACCAAAGCAGGAATCTCCTGGAACAGGCAAATGTGGTTCTCACAAACGGTGGCCACTCGTCCCCCCACAAGCAGCAGTAAACATAATCACTCACAGAATCGCCCAAGGTGGAAGCACTTGGTCTTTGGTCTTTGTGTGGCTACCAATCCCATGGCATATGAATTAACATCACTATTTTCCACCACAGAGTGAACGAGGACGATAAATCCATTCAGCATGTGAGAGCTCAGAGCTGAATAACTGGATAATTGTGAAGGGCCTGCCTTTTGGTATCACCATGTTTAGTTTTAGTTGTTTTGAAGGAGATGGGAGTTAAGGGGATAAGACGCAACAAAGTGGTTTTTAAACGCAGACACTGACAAAGATCTAAACAGGTCTTTGCGCTGTGAGGGTCTTACATCTAACACAGATCTTCCTTAAGGCTAACAAGTACACAACCATTGCCACATTTTTGTATCGTCCATTTACTCAAAATTATACCTGTCTATCACTGCCTCTGACACAAAATTATTTGCACAACTAACTTTACACTGACAAAGCACATAGCTTAAAATATTTAGCAAGAAAGTACCAAAAGGATGTTAATCACCAGTCTTTTAAAATTCTAAAAAGTAGTGATGTATGACATAATAGCTGTAGTAAGATTAGAATACAAGTATCAGTGTGGAAGCTGTAAACTGGCTTACGGCATGATGGCAACTGAAAGTATGTAATAATGTATCATAATAGGTAAAGGTAAGTACAGTTTATTTATAAAGTGCTTTACACAGACATATAGTCACAAATTGCTGCACAATCCAAATTTAAAAAAATAAATTGAGTAATTAAAATAAAAAATAACAGAAAATTAAAATGCAGTGAAAAATGGTGCACAATTCTGAACAGAATGTATTTACATTACATATTTTATGCATTTACACTAAAAGACCATCAAATGCAAGATTAAGATGCACTGTTGTGTGGCTTTTTCAATATACCAGTTACAATTAGAAAGCACAGTGTAGCTTTTCAAACAGCCCTAATGCAGTACAGAGTTGTCAAACTAATTTTATATTGCGGGCCACATACAGCCCACTTTGATCTTAAGTGGGCCGGACCAGTGAAACTCCCCTTTCTGTCAGTGTAAAGAAGTTACATATGTAACTGTTTTTCTACATGTTAGAGAAAAAACTGCTATCCTTTTTTTGTTGTTGTGGATGTTTTTGTTTTGTAGTTATAAAAAAAAAAAAAACAGATAAAATGATGTGGCGGGCCACATTTGGCCCACGGGCCTTGAGTTTGACATGTGAGGTAGTATATTGGCCAGTACTAGCACTGAAGAACATATCCATATGGGGATGTATCAACTGTGCATCCAGTTTACTTGTAGATCTATTATATGTTCATACAATACGGTACATACAACAGTTTACATTCTACAAAGATAATGTATTATTTATGACTTATGTTAGGTTTTAACATGGAGACAGAGTCATCTCTTCCACAAGTTTTGAAAGTCTGAATGGTCTTTGCATCAAAGCTGCATTTCCCAGCTATGTTTTAGCATCATTAATGCCAACTACCCATACAATAACTTAAAGAAACAAAAAATGACATTAAAAAAGCACATGTATACCATGGCTTTTGAAGGCATTTCTGTAACTCAAAGGAACTGTAATATAGTAGTGACATGATCTTTTTCTGAAAGACAACATTTCAGCACTTTAACAGATTGTGGAGGCACTAATGTTAAGCATCCCATCTCTGAAGAAAAAAACCCCACCATACTTCAACTACATTAAAGCCTCCTGTCAGGTTTGGTTTGTATCTTATTCTTGGGAAAACATCCTCTGTCTGAGTCATAGCAGGTTAGTTTTACCTCATCTACCTTTTAACCTCAAGCTTTTAATTAGGTAGGTTGGGATTACGGCATTCATTTGCTTCCTTGCCATTACCGAGGTGCAGCAACCTCTGACCCCAAAGTTGTCTCTGCAGTCTGTAATGGGCTGAAATAAGGTCTGCTAGTAGAAAAGTTAAGGGTGTGCACACAGAAGAACACACTAAAAACATGGCGCGCACACACACACACACACACACACACACACTACTGGGAGATCTGTTGGAAGCAGCCCTAAAGGGAGATGCCTGGGTGTGAGGAACCGTGCTTTAACAGCTGGGGAGAGATATTATCTCATAATGTAAAGCCTGGAAATGGATCCTCCCAAGATACAACAAGCCAGGAGTGTAAGTTCATACATTCAACCACACCAGGGTTTGGAAGTGAAGCTTTTTTCAAGCTGACCTAACTCAGCTCATGACCCCTGCCTCTTGGATTATGTTTTTACCTTCATTCGTGCTCTCTAAACAGATTATTTTTCATAGATCTTAAAGGTTGAAAGGTTGTCGCACACCTACTTGAAAATTTTCTTAAATAAATTTATATGTTCAGAAGTATTTGATCAAATAAGTGCATCCATACATTTTAAAAATAAATCTGTCAACATAAAAGATAAGGGTAAAAAATGCATTCAGTCACACTAGGGCCCTGGTGTTCACAAGTTCTGGTGTGAAAGGTCTGTATAAATTATTTTTTTTAATTCTATTATTCAGCCACTCTCAAACAAAACCGCTCTTTGTGAGGTGCACTAAAGTGCTGCAGTAAGGTAGGCATGGAATCCGTGGCCCTGTGGGAGGCATGTGGTCAAGGAGCTTTGTTGATAAGAGCCATCACCATATGATTTATAACAGGCACATTCCCCATGCTCACTCTGGGTGATTTACACTTGTGAAAAACAGTGCTACGTGGCTCATCCCAAAATAAAAAATCTTATAGGGTAAATGGGAGATGATACATACATACATGCATACATACATACATACTAAAGTATGTAAAGTTATAAAATATGAAAAAAAAATATTAGTTAACTACTTTTCCTTGGATAAAATAAAACTAACTGAAGCAATTTTGTGAACTTGAAAAACTAATTTAAAAAAAAACTAAATATATAGATATATCCTTAGTTTTAGTGTTGGTTATTTTGGTAAAAAACAACAACAAAAAAACAACAGCATCTTCCTTGATGGGGCAGTAGTTGACACGTTTTTGAAGCTTTGGAAGTCTATAACACATTCAAAAAGTTATCTGCTTTTATTGCACTACCTGAATTAATTTTCCTAGATCTTGCCTCAGCATGTGCCCTCCAATAACAATATTTATTAAGATAATAATTAATAAATGTAAGACTGAAAATAATAATAATAATAATAATAATAATAAACTCGCAGGAGAATCCCACTCTGGAAATGAACTGAAACTAAACAGAATCAAAAACAAAAACGAAATAAAAATAAAAATAAAAACTAATTAGAAAATCTAAAACAATAATAACTATAATATTGCACATACATAGTGTGTCACCAAAAATTTATTTTAAGCACACTTTGTAGTTGGTCCTAATCTATTCTAAAGTCTTTTGGACTTTAGAATAAATTTAGGTAACAGGTTAATCCAGTAGTCTGAAACTGCAACTGCAGTTGAATGGAGGTTTGGTCTTTGTATACTGAAGTTGTGTCTTTGTTTGCATGTTGAGCAGGGAAGTCATAGCTAACCAGAGGTGGTCACTTTGACAGTCCTATATCAGATCATATGAACTGATGTAGTTAAGACAGTCCACTTTTAAGGAACATGTTGATGTCAAGTAGGTAGGTGAGGGAATCAGAACAGCCTCACTGAGCCAGTTTACATCACTTACCTGGAGGCAGGTCTGGGTCACTCGGGGCAGCTTGCTGTAGGCGACGGGGCTTGGCCACAGCCTTGGAGCTGTCTGAGACACTGCGACTGGTGGAACTAGAGCCACTTTCGTGGTCATCCTGATAAAACAAAAACAAACAACAATGCCTGTGATGACAGAAGCTGGACAAAAGGGCCTCTACAAGAGCTCTGCAGTTATAAGTTATCAGTTATAACCACATTAAAGTAAAGTAATAATATAACATATAGTAGTTGTGATCCTAGATTGTGCAAACTAGTTCTTGTTTAAATCAGATATGGAATATGTGAATTTTCATGCATAAAATATGTTTCTTAGATTGAAAATTAGAGTAACAATATTGAATATATTTGTTTATATGTAATGGCTTGAATTACAATTATAATGCCTTTGTCCACGACTACACCAGGGTCCACTTAGGTCCAAGCAACATAAATTTTGTTATCAGACAGTGGAAAAGAGGATCTTTGCGGCCTTTGACTGTGCTAACTTCCAAGGACAATTTATATTACAGTGTATCTGGTTACTGAGAGTAATGAAATGAATATAAACTGAGAATCTGCTCTCCTGGCGGTAGCAGTGATAAGAAGAAAGTTTACCATGCACCACTATTTCTTACACTAAACCTTCTGAATAGCCTTCTGAATAACCTTCCTCCCACCATTTAACAACCATCCCTGTGGCCTCTACAAATAAACTCTGGTCCTTGGATGAGAAAGATGAAGGTCTCTAGTCCATGACAGCACATGTCATCCACACTGGAGACACCGGTGGCCTGTCAAGCCCAGGAACATAAGTGCAAAATGTGTGTATGTATGTATTAATGTGTATATAGGAAAATGAAATGATCATCCCCCATTTAGAGATGAGCTTGGTGAAAAACAGAATGACCCAAGATCCAAGCTAAGGAGCTTATTTATTGTTGTAGCTTGTAGAGAGCCTCGGGCTTGTGGGTGTTCTGTACAAATAAAACCGCAGAGACATGAGGACAAACAGTGGAGGGGTCAGAAATAGTGGTTTTAGACTACTGACAGCCAAGGCCTTATGCTGCATTCCATCTGCCTCAGAAGTCAGATGTCAGAGCTGGGAGTGACGTCACTGTTGTTTGTGTTCCAACAGCAAAGTCAAAAAGCAAGGAAAACAGGATTTGTTTTGGTCCTTAGCAAGGTAGAGCCATTAATGCACCACTAGCAATACTAATATTGCTTGGCTTATTTTATTTATTTATTTTGCTTAAAAACAGCACATTTTATTAAAGCTACTGAAGGGGCAACAATAAGGTTGAGTTTGTAAATTTAATAAATGTGCCTTTTTAAGGGATTGAGGGATTTGCTAAGTCACCGTTTTGGATTGGACAAGTAATACTAAGATTCTATGGGTGGAAATCTGTCAGCTCTGTCACTGTATCCACATGATAAACGTGTGTGCATCTTGGAATATATCGAGCCCTGTTGTAAAGACGAATTTAACCATAAATGAGCAATTTGGAGAATAGGGGAGAAAAACTTATCAGAGCACAAAAATGCTATGACTACAGCAGCTAATGTTGAACTCCTAACAGCTACTATGTATAATAGCAAATACCTCATATTCAAACTCATGGTAGACATAAGCCTGCAGCAGTGGATGGGATGAAGAAATGGGAAAAAAATTAGATACAGTGTCAAAGAAACAATATATTAGAAGCAAAACTGAGAAGTTAGTGAAAAGGTGGAGAGATTACGGAGTTAAAACTCAGTGTGGCGTTGATTAGAGGTTACTGCAGCACTGTAACCTTTGCACAATCAGCCTGGGTGGTAGGTTAGTCAGATAATTTGGACAAGAAAAGGGAGATCACATGTGTTTAGCATTAAAGCGTCTCAGGAGTCACCCCTTATCCTGACACATGTAAGCACTGAAGGTGTCAAAACCAAATATATTTGGCTACTCCACACACACACTTTATTTATAAATACTGAACCGATCCAGTTTAAACTGACAGACAGCCTTTGCAGGCAGGTCGCGTGTTGCAAATTTTAATACATTCATGCAGCTTACATATGTAACAGACAATCCCTGGTTCTAACACTATTTAATGACAGTGAACCCTTTCGTTGTAGTTGAGTAATGATGATTTGGTTTTAAACATACTTTGCATTATCTGAGTTGCAGACACACTGACAGAAGTATCCCCCAGTGCAGTAAACACTCAATACTCAAAAGAGATGAGAGAGGCTCTGGCAGAAATATTTACATGTTACTTCACTAAGGCCCTATCCAATAGAGCTCCACTGTGCAATCCGTTTTTTCCTCATCAGAGAGTGGTGGGAATTGGTAAACAGAGAGGGAGAAATAATAAATACTTCATCAAGGTTACAACGAATAAAGATCTGTGAATAATAAGGTGTAAATTTGCTGGTCATTACTCATTTCTTTTGTAGATTTGTCATCACTTTGAAAAGTTGCACCTATAATATTTAAACATGCTACAATAGAAAAGGGATTGTTATTTGATTAGGAAGGTTTAAGATACACACTCCAATCCTTAGTTTACATCACAATACCCTGCTTGAGCACATTAGAGTAAGAAACGGTCTCCTTCCCCCTTTAGTCTCATATCTATACCTAAAGGAATGCATAGCCCAGCAAGCCAAGAGTACATCGAGTTCAACAACTTGAACTGCCACTATGAAGAACAAGACTGCCAAATTTGGAAGTAGCGCAATTAAGCGCTCAATGTCACCATGGGCAGTGAGCAATTCTCTAGAGGTGAAAAATGCCTTTTCAGAAGGAAGCCCTGGGACAAATGAAGCCTGCCCTCAGCTGCTGCCAAGTAAATCGATCTCTCCAATTCCACAGCAGGGCACAGCACAGGGAGGGAGCCTAAGAAGGATGGAGAAAAGGAGAAGGAAAGATACACACGAGGACCGGAAAAAGTAGGGCTGCTTCCCCTGCAGGCATGTCACCTCAGCTGTTAACCAAATATGATGGTAGTTAAAAAGGAAAAGAGAGACATGAAACCAATTGATAAGCGAGAGAAAAAACAGTGGAAAAAAACAGAGAGACAGCAAAACCAAGAAAAGCTGAGGGACGTCTAGAGTGAAAGAGACTTGATGATAATGAGACCAGAACAAAGGGACAGAAACATGAAGCTGGTGGTGTGACTGACAGGTGAGGGGGACCCCCTACTCAGAGGGTAAGTGGGCACCCATAGAGGGTTAGGGCACAGGAAGGCCAGACGTGACCCCTGTCCTTCTGTAATCGTCTGACTCAGTCAGGGAGCAGGAGGCGGTGTGCTGAGTCTGTCTGGAGGGTCAACCCATATGAGCTGCTCAGCGCATTAGCTGAATACCACCACCACCTCCAGCTATTAGGAACAGCACCTCTGTAGATAAGAAACTCACAAGTTCCTTGTACAAATAATCTGGCTATAACTCACAGACACTAGAAACCAGTAACATCATATCTGCTAGTGACAATGACATATATGTAAGCTAGTAAAGCTTCAAAAAATACAAATATGTCTTAAGACATTTCATATTACGCAGGTATGTTTTATTATAAATAGATATTTTAAAGTATTTGTTCATGTTCTAAGCTTAATGCAGTCGTTCATTTTTTTAGTCTGCTCAAATTAATATACTCATTATACTTATAAAGTATTTGCGGGAGCAGAATAACACCCTTGCTACAGTTTCTTGTGATTTGAGGCTTCCTCTGACCTGGACTGGCTGAAAAGTAGGCAAATTACCAGAGTTTTTGTTGCCCATTCACATTTCTTAATAAATATTAGACAAACAAAAACAAGCACTATATTTTTTTTCTTTTCAGAAATTGCTAAGTATTTTCCAATTTCAGTTTAACACAAGGAAGAAAAAAAATTGGCAAGGACCAGCAGCCGACTACCTCGCTTCTCTGCAACCGCCTGATCTTTGAAACCAAAACATTTTTAAAACTGGTCAATTTCACACGGTTTCAGCACATTAATGGGAGCATGCAGACCATTGCTAGATAAACACACTCTGTTTTTGTTGTTTTTCCTCTGCAGGTTGCTGGTGAACTCATGCTGACATCAAAGCAGCAGGCCTGGATACTGGAGGCACGGCAGGGGAGGGCGAACGCCTACAGAGTGAGAAAATAAATGAAGGAAACCCAATAGGCTCCTTATCTCACACAGAACCCCTTCTCCTGTAAATCACTCACGTACTCATATAAACACAGACACACACAGAACCTCTGCCCGACATGTTAAGGCCTAGCATTCACACCTCCAAGTAACCAGTGAATCATATGATACTCAAAGGATATAATGATAATGTGGGACATTCCAGGCTGTTTTTCCAGAACAATAGTGGGGAAAAAACACTACTAAAAAGAAACACATACTCTTTTGTCCTAAAAATGTGCTTCTGTTTTTTTAGTGCTCCTAGGTCTCATCTCCCCCCTCTCTCACCATCTTGCCTCATCAAAAGCCTTCTTTGCCATCACAGTATTCATTTCACTTTTGTTCATGTTTCATCTTCTTTACCTATATCTGACATTGTCTCCATCCTTCCACTTCTTCTAGAGCTTCTCATCCCATCTATAATTAGCTAGTCTGAAGCTTGTTTTAACAGTGTTGACCCTGGTTCTCATAAGAATGGTTTCCAGCTGGCACAGAGAGAAATAAAAACATGAAAAGGGGCTCACTGTTTTAAACATAATGTCACAGTTTGGGATGGTTCCAGTAATGTCAAATGGTATGCAGCCACTTCTTTTACACTTAAGCTGTTTGAACCATTGATGACAACCCCACCGGAATTTTTGCTGAAAAGAACAGAGAACATCACAGTTGACTCAGATTACCTTTTCTTTAACGTCTCTTGGCTTCGAACGCATCCATCAGCTCGGCTAAAAATTAGCTGCTAATGGCTTTTTAATGAAACGGTAACAAATGAAGAAAGCTATTTTACCATGATTAAAGACAGGGGGTTCATTTTCTCCTCAAACAGAAGAGAACTACAGAAGCTGGAGTAGTGAGGACAGAATTTCACACAGTCTCCATCACAAATAACTGTTGGGTATTAATATTATAATAATTATGCTACGTATTTTATACACAGACATCATAGGCATAGTTAA